TGTAATGAATTACAGTTTTATTTGCTTTAAAATTATGCAGTTTTATTTGGCTTATTTTTCTGATTAATTGATGGAAATTGTGATGTTTTGTGCAGACCATACTCTTATAACTCATAACTGAAGCACATTGGATTTTGACACTTGCACAGCTGCCATGAAAGGGGGGTGAATTCTGTTCCTCTAATTTAATGAGTTTAACTTCACTATCACTCAAAATACTCCCAGAAAAACACAAAAATATTAGATTAGATCATGAACTGACTTCTATGAATACACTGTATTTGATTGCATTTCTATGAATTCTGTTTTCTTAATTTCATAAGTTGTTTTTCCCATTCTCACATGATTGTCATACTTGTAATTTTCAAAAGGATGTACTTGCCATTCTGTGCACATAATTCTGAAAAAAAGTGGATTGTGAGCTTAATTGATTGACATTATCACTTAAAATTCCTTGGTGAGATTTGAGCCTCATGCATAAGCATTTTTTATGTGTGAAATTTAATCTCATTTGTTGCCGCACCTCTAAAACATGCTTTATTTCTTAATTGAATACGTAATTTGTAGATCTCACATATATGATGGAGGCCTTCTTTGATCATGCTTAGCTAGCTTAAATGAACCTCCCTTTATGTCGAAAATCCTAGTTCACGCCTCTTGTGCCTTTAACCTTTTTCTTTGAAAAACCTCAATTTAAGCCTTGCTGAAAAACCATGAGTCCTATCCAAATTAGAAAGAGGCAATTTGAGTTTAATCAAAGATGAATTTTTTAAACTAAGTTTGGGGTGGCTTCTTGTTTTACATTGCTTGAGGACAAGCAAAGTTCTAAGTTTGGGGTGGGCAGCAGCAAAGCTTTGAGTTATTTAAAAAGAAAAATGAAAAGAAAAGTGTTAAAAAGTGTGAAAAATAGAAAAGAATTGAAAAAAGAAATTCTCTGTATAATTGATGCAATGATAGTTCTTTAAATGCTGCAAAAATTCTATAAATTCTGTGCAGATTTCGATGAATGAGAAAGATGAGGTAACCTCAATTTAAGTTTTGAACATTCATCTACTTGAATTGGATCTTTTCTATTTGGAAGTAACCACATTGTTTCCCTAGTTGATTGAACACCTACCTGTCCTTTAACCTCAATTTCACCTGAAAAAGTCCTCTTGATATGTGACTTGCTATATATTTACAGAGGAGATTGAGAATATTTGCAAGCCTATGGTAAAGTGTGGTAAAAATGATGATTTATAGAGCAAACATTAAGCTTTTACTCACATGAAACTTTGCTGAATTACTTGAACTCAGATGACAAGTTTTTGTTGGTTATGTGATTAATTCAGTGTGATTGTCATGATGATTGAGTGGATTAATAACTTGATTGAGAATGAGAAATCAGAAAACATAGAACTGCAAAATAGAAAATTTTTGAAAAAAGTCAGTTTTGTTGCTTGATTTTAATTAGTGGATGAATTTTCCCCTTATGTGATTTGATTTGCTTGAGGACAAGCAAAATTCTAAGTTTGGGGTGGTGATAAATCCACATTTTACTATATTTTTAGCCTAGTTTTTGTTAGTAAATAAGGAGTTAAATAGTAAATAAACTTGAAAATATTATAAAAATTGCATTAATATTCATAATTGTATAAATAGTTTAGAATTTTAGATTTTATTCCAATTCTGGATAATTTTGCTTAAAAAGACTTAATTTTGTGTAGAAGCTTGAGTTGAAGATGTTTGAGTTGAAGATTGAAGTGAAGAAAGTAGAGGAATTGAGCTTAAAAGATGAAGAATCAAGTGTTATGTGTTGGGCGTAGCCACTTTGAATATATAGAGTTAACACTTTGAAGAAAAAAATTCATGAATATCAAGAGAGTAGCTACTTCAAGTGTTAAGCGTAGCTACGCAATTGAGTGTGTAGCCACTTTAAGTGCCTAGAGTAGCTACGCAATACGTGTAGCCACTTCAAGCATTCAGAGTACCTACGCCCAAGACTAATTCAGAACTGTACAATGCACGTAGCTACTTCAAGTGCCAGAGTGGCTACGCAGTCAGCGTGTAGAACAAAGTTTCTCCTAAGAACACCATGAACTTCTATGAGAAAGAGAAGGAGAAGAGAAACAAACGGTAAATCTAGCTTCAAACTTAAAGAAACTTACTTCAAATCCTTCAGAATAGACATAGAATCTCAGATCTGACAAGAAATCTAAGTTTTGGAAGGTTTAATATGAGAGAAATAGTGGTATTTGGCCTTGGAACCTTTGAGAACCTTGGATAGGGGTGAAGAAATGAAAATTTTGTGTGAAGCCCCCTTTTTTATAGAAAATTTTTGAAATTTACTGTTCACCGCCTTACTGTTCACGCCGGAAACACTGTTCAAGGCACTATTCACGCCGAAAAATACTGTGCACGCGTACTGTAGCGTATGTGACGTCAGCCATGACGTCACTGATGATGTCAGCAGTCACTGTACATACGCGGTTTTCACTGTTTATACACAGTTTGTATGCGGTTTGCACTATTCATAGGCAGTTTTACTATTCATCTGACACTGTTCATACGGTACTGTTCACTTTTTTTTTTTAATAAATAATTTCAAACTCCATCTAAATCTATTCTAGTACCGAATAATCCTTCAATTAACATTGAACAAGTATAAAATATTATAGATTACTCAATAATAAATCACTAGCCTGACAATTCTCCCCCTGAAAATAAATTTTCGTCCTAAAAAATTTTATCCTTCAGAGAAAAGATGAGGGTACAACTCTCTCATTCTTTCCTCTAATTCCCATGTGGCATCACCAGTTACTGGATCCCAAATAACCTTTACTAACCGAATAGACTTGCCTCTAAGTTCCTTAACTCTAGTATCCTCAATACAAGCAGCTGGAACCTCTGTAGACAAATCATCTCTTAACTCCACAACATCAGGGTCGATTACATGAGACGTATCAGGAACATACTTTCTTAACTGCGACACATGGAAAACATTATGTAGTCCTGACAACTAAGGTGGTAGCGCTAATTCATAGGCTACTGGTCCTCTACGATGTAATATCTGATATGGTCCTATGAATTTAGGTGTTAACTTCTTAGCTCTTAAAGCTCGCCCCACACATGTAGTGCGTGATACTCTCAGGAATACGTGATCACCAACCTCAAATTCTAGAGGTCTTCTGCGTCGGTCAGCATAAGATTTCTGTCGACTCTGGGTAGCTCTAAGCTTTTCTCTAATAAGCTCAACTTTCTCCTTAGTTTCTTGTAGCATTTCAGGCCCAACCATCAAATGTACTCCATCTTGGAACCAACAGATAGGGGTTCTACACCTTCTGCCATACAGAGCTTCAAATGGTGCCATATCTATACTTGAATGGTAGCTATTATTATAAGTGAATTCTACCAAAGGAAGCATATCCTCCCAATTACTCTTCTGTTCTACAATACAAGTCTGCAATAAGTCCTTTAAGGTCTGAATAGTACGCTCAGATTGACCATCTGTCTGCGGATGATATGCAAAACTCAACCTCAACTGTGTGCCCATAGCTTCTTGGAAACTCTGCCAAAACTGGGAAGTGAATCGAGGATCCCTATCAGAGATAATACTAGAAGGTACTCCATGTAACCTGACAATCTCTCTAATGTACAATTCTGCTAATTTCTCCAAGCTAAAAAGGTCATGTTAATTGGCAAGAAATGCGCACTCTTGGTTAGCCTATCAACTATGACCCACACAGCATCATGATTTTTAACTGTTCTAGGTAGATGGGACACAAAGTCCATAGTCACATGGTCCCACTTCCACTCTGGAATTTCCATTGTCTGCAACTCTCCTAGAGGGCTCTGGTGCTCCGCCTTTGCCTTCTGGTAAGTCAAACAAGCTTTAACAAATTCAGCTATCTCTCGCTTCATACCTGGCCACCAAAACATCTGCTTTAAAACTTGATACATCTTCGTAACACCAGGATGAATGTTGAGACTACCCTTATGTCCTTCTAGAATTGCTCTCTTTAATTCAGTATCTCTAGGGACACAAACTCGACCTTGGCATTTGAGAATACCATCAGCACCTTTACTAAAATCTTTTGCTTTATCTGTCCCTAAGAGAAATACAATCCGACATAACATCGGATCCCACAGTTGTTTGTCTTTAATTTCCTGTAAGAAATTATTAGTCACCACAATTCGGCTGCAACTAATCTTTTCAGGTGATAAGTCTACATGTATGTTCAGGTCTTGGAATTGTTCTACCAAAAGAGTTTCACTAACTCTTAAGGAGAATGCCTGAACCACATTCCTACTTAATGCATCGGCCACCACGTTAGCTTTTCCTGGATGGTATTGAGTTGAAAATCATAATCCTTAAGGAATTCCACCCAACGTCTCTGCCTCATATTTAACTCTCGTTGATCAAATAAATACTTCAGACTCTTGTGATCACTATATACATCAAACTGAGCTCCATAAAGATAGTGCCGCCACACCTTCAGAGCAAAGACCACAGCAGCTAACTCAAGATCATGAATTGGGTAATTTCGCTCATGAGTTCGCAATTGGCGAGATGCATAAGCTACCACTCTCTTATCTTGCATCAACACACATCCCAATCCCTTATGGGAAGCATCACAGTACACCTCGAACGGTTGACTAGTATCCGGGAGAATCAACACCGGTGAGGAAGTTAGTCTCTGCTTCAACTCATTAAAGCTTTGCTCACATTCCTCAGTCCATACAAAGGGTTGATCACGGCGAGTTAACCGTGTTAATGGTGCAGCTATCTTCGCAAATCCCTCTATAAATCTCCGATAGTAACCTGCTAGACCTACAAAACTACGAATCTCTGTGGCTGTCTTCGGCCTTTCCCACTGCAACACCGCTTCAACTTTGGAAGGATCAACTGTAATTCCTTTAGCTGAAATAACATGACCGAGGAACTTCACTTCCTCTAGCCAAAACTCACTTAGATAATTTAGCATACAACTATTTTTCCCTTAAAATACTAAGTACAGTCCTTAAATGCTCTGCATGTTCCTCTGACGAACTAGAATAAATCAAAATATCATCAATAAAGACTACCACAAATTGATCCAGGAAAGGTCTAAAGATCCGATTCATGTAGTCCATAAACACAGCTGGAGCATTTGTGACTCCAAAAGGCATCACTATATATTCATAGTGGCCATATCTAGTGCAAAAAGCAGTCTTAGGAATATCTTCATCCTTCACTCAGATCTGATGGTACCCAGACTTCAAATCAATCTTAGAGAATACCTTAGCACCCCTCAGCTGGTCCATCAAATCATCGATTCACGGCAACGGGTACTTATTCTTAATTGTCAACTTATTTAACTTGCGATAATCAACACATAATCTAGAACTGCCGTCCTTCTTTTTCACTAAGAGAACTGGTGCTCCCCAAGGTGATACACTCGGCCTAATCATTTGTTTCCGCATTAGATCCTCGATCTGCTCCTTAAGCTCCATCAACTCTTTTGGCGCCAATCTCTAAGGTGCTACAGACACTGACTCAGTTCCAGGAATCAAATCTATAGAAAACTCCACCTCTCTACGTGGAGGTATTCCAGGAATATCCTCTGGAAAAATCTTAGGGAACTCTGGTACTATTGGTATTGACTGAAGGCTTTGCTCCACTTTTGCATTCATAACTCCCAACAAAACAAAACAAAATACTCCCTCACCTAAGGATGTTTCTACCTGGCGAGTAGAAATTAATTTCACACAGCCTTGCTGCTCAGGAAAGATTAAACACCTCCGGCCACAATCAATTAGCACACGATTGGCAGTTAGCCAATCCATACCCAGGATTACATCTAACCCTGACATCGGGATACAAATAAGGTTTACTTTGTACTTTCGTCCCTCAATTATTATGGGGCACCTAACACAAACCGTTGAAGTCTTAATCGAACTTAAAGTAGGTGTTGATACTACCAATTCACATCCTAGATCGCTCACTGGTAACCCTAAGGTTCTCACACAAATGTCCGCAATAAAAGTGTGCGTGGCTCCAGAATCAAACAATACAGAAAGAGAAGTACCTGCCACTACCGCTGTCCCCTGGACGAGATCCGTTGCCTGAGCTGCCTCTGATGCAGAAGTAGTGAATACACGTCCCTCTGCTCTCGATCTGGTTGTCGTTGGAGCCCTAGTCGCTTTACGCCTAACAGCGTGCAAGGCGCTAGCAGAAGCCGAAACTGCCCCACTAGGCGTAGGACAGTCCCTAGCAAGATGCCCTGGCTGCTGGCACGAGAAGCAAACCCTGACATCAGCCTGTAGGCACTGGCTTAGGTAGTGTGGCCCACCACACCTGAAACATCTGACAATCTGCGGCACTGAGGCTCTAGGAGCAGAAGAAGTTGCTCCCCTAGGCTGAAATGCAGAAGTAGCAGTCCTTATTGGCACCGGGGCTGATGCTGCCGATCCTCTCGACTGAGATGGTCGGATTACTGTTGGCGTAGCGACCGACTGTAGGGGCCCTTCTTAGCACCCTTACTTCCATTACCATACCTACTAGCAGCTCTACTAGATGGAGCCTTCCCAACTCCACCAACATCCTCTGCATTAAGACTCTCTATAATGGTGGCTTGATCCACCAAGTCAGCAAATTCTGTGATCCTAAGTGGGATTAAAATCCTCTTTATGTCAGTTCTCAACCCGTCTGAAAACCTCTGACATCTCCACTCCTCCGAGGTTGGGTGAGAATAAAATCTGTAAAGTCGCTCAAACTGTATTGCATACTCATAGACTGATGAGTTTCCTTGCACCAAGTTTAGAAACTCCCGCTCTTTGGCAGCACGAACATGGGAAGGGAAAAACTTTCCCAGAAAACTACTTCTAAATACAGCCCAAGTGATGACTTCACCTCGGGCTTCCAGCATAGCACGAGCTCTGTGCCACCACATCTCTGCATCCCCTATCAGCATATAAGTAGCATATAACACCTTCCTCTCCTCGGCGCAACCCATAGTTAGGAAGATCTTCTCAATCTCCCTGATCCAGAGTTCAACAGCATCTGGTCCATCCACCCCCGTGAATTGAGGAGGATCATTCTTCCTGAACTCTGACAACCCATGGTATTTAGGAGGAGGTGCAGCTGAGGCAGTAGCTGCTGCTGCCTGTGCTGCAGCAGCGGCTTGGTTTGCAGCTTGCTGCTGCTGAATCATATCTAGACTCTGCCTAACAGTGGCTGCCATAGCCTCGATGGCGTGAGCCATTTGGTTCACGTCAGCAGGAGGAGGAGGGTTTGTAGCAGATCTTCTTGGTCTAGCCATGCTAATATATAGACTAGCTTAGTTTACTAACGTTTAAAACATTTAGCAATACAATCACATAACTATATTCATAGATTCAGCTTACAGTGATATATTCATATTTAGTATATCATAACAATTTAATCAGTTTAGCACTGAGGATAACATCATATCAGCATTCACACAGCATAACAAATACACTTGTCTTAGCAATCATTTACAACTTAGCTTAACAACCTTTTATTCATGCAGCATGAATCGCTTATAGCTCACCCCAGTATCACATACCAAAATTTCCTACATCAGTCATGTTTGAGAACTGAGGTGATCAAGCTCGTTCCCTCACAACTTGATGAATAGAAATCATAATATATGATTCACAGCTAAAATTCACATGTCTAATATGCACAACTGACGCCTAACAACCTCACCCCGTAGGTTCACCTAGACCATGCTCTGATATCACTAAAATTGTCACGACCCCTTTTTGTAAGGAATCGAGAACATTGTTTGTACATCACATACTTATTTAAGATAAATAAATAATAGAGAATATAAGTATGAAATTCTCTTCTCAATTAAAATAAAACAAAGTTTCTTACAACAAATATCCAACAGAACAACATAATATTACATTTAGTTCATAATATTCAAAATACCCAAAATTATACTACATAGCTCCCTCTACATGAGGTCTCAAAATATAAGGAAAAAGGACTTTGATGCAATATTACTCGACCCCAGCTTCAATCATTTCTTCATTGGCCCCTCAGCCTGTGAAGTAGATGCAACACCTGCTACATCTGCTCACGTACCACCGTACGTTCATCGCAGTACACACGCACACAACGACATAGAAAGAAATGCAAGGGTGAGCTTACAAAAATAAAATAAAATCATATATATATAAAGCAAAATATTTCTCACAGCAATAGCCCCATGCATTTCCAGCCCATCTAATGCACAACATGAAAACGGTTTCCAACTGGTTTCACAGGCTAAGTAATCCAGAAGGAACCGAGCTAGTCTGGGAGCGACCCATTCGGGTATCTGGATCCAGACAGCACAGCACAACAGCTCAACATGAACTTACCGTTACACGTCTACCTACCTAAACATGTAACTCGGCTCTATAATGATGCAAAACATTTATCTCAGCATGATGCACACCACCAAAATTATTTTAACAGTTCAGCTAAGGCAAGTTTATAATAGATCAGCCAAAATCTCAGCATTTTAAATCAACTAACAGCAGTTACTGCTTAGAAAATAGCTTTTATTCAATAGATCTAACAAAATCATATTAAAACATCTTGAAATAGCATATTAAACCGTTCAAAACGTAGTTCATAGGTTAAAGTAAACTCCCTTTACCTCAGAAAGATGATTCACACTAGATCTACCGAATATTACTTGTTTTAATGCAAGATTTACCGAAGATTCGGCTTTAGAACAAACTTTCTCCTAAGAACACCATGAACTTCTATGAGAAAGAGAAGGAGAAGAGAAACGAACGGTAAATCTAGCTTCAAACTTAAAGAAACTTACTTCAAATCCTTCAGAATAGACATAGATTCTCAGATCTAACAAGAAATCTAAGTTTAGGAAGGTTTAATATGAGAGAAATGGTGGTATTTGGCCTTGGAACCTTTGAGAACCTTGGATAGGGGTGAAGAAATGAAAATTTTGTGTGAAGCCCCCTTTTTATAGAAAATTTTTGAAATTTGCTGTTCACCGCCAGAAACACTGTTTAGGGCACTATTCACGCCAGAAAATACTGTGCACGCGTACTGTACGCGTATGTGACGTCAGCAGTCACTGTACATACGCGGTTTTCACTGTTCATACACAGTTTATACGCGGTTTGCACTGTTCATAGGCATTTTACTATTCATCTGACACTGTTCATACGGTACTGTTCACTTTTTTTTTTTTTAATAAATAATTTCAAACTCCATCTAAATCTATTCCAGTACGAAATAATCCTTCAATTAACATTGAACAAGTATAAAATATTATAGATTACTCAATAATAAATCACTAGCCTGACACAAATTACCAAAAAGGGGAGCAAATAAAAAAAAAGAAAAAAAAAGTGAGAAAAAGGAACTAAAAAGTAAGCAATAAATAGAGGAAAGTGAAGGCCAATGATATCCATTTGAGGATTGGTTCATTGTATTGCATTGCATTATGTTTTCACTTAGGGGACTTGATCGCGAGTGTCGCTCTCGGACAAATTAATAAAAACCGAATTGCATAAAAATTATGTAGTAAGAGGTGCAATCTGAGTCATCTCCCAACGATGATAACGTTATATGATTATAAAATTTTTAGAGGGGGTTTGATTTATAAAATAACTAATTAGAATCAAAAGTTAAAAATAATTAAAAACTCTAATCCAAGAATTTAGAAGAACTACGACCACTCTATCACCGGATTCCAAGAAGATGCATCAACCAACAAATTAGTGATTAAGATTAAATTCGAATGAAACCTCAATTCAAATTAAGCATTCACACGAGAACCCTCATGCATTCGATTAACACACAATTCGCTCAAAGTTCAGAAACCTCTAGAACCTAATCGATTTGTGTTAATTTAATTCACCAATGCCATTAATCTTAGATCTCAAACCTGAAAATCTAATTCACACTCCTTTAAGAATTAATTACATACATCAACCGAATAATATGTAATCAAACAGCTGCACAATTATCAATCCAAATGAAGAACTTCAATTCGAAATCATAATTAGCAAAAGAAGAAAGAAGGAAGAGATGAAACCGAATTTGTTGTTGAATAAATTGCGAAACCGATCCTCAAGAGTGTCTCAGCCCTCTTTCAATTCTTGGACTAGATGAAAATCTAAGCCTCCATTAATGGAGGAAAATGAAAAGTAAAAACGGAGAAAAAAAATGAAAAAGAGAAGAGAGAAGAAGAAGAGAGGAGAGGAACCAAAAACAACTTAAAATTCAAAATTCAAAATTCAAAATTCCTGTTCGTCACTTTGTTCCATTTTTTTGATATGAAAACGGCCTCCTTTTGGTTCGTGGCCTGAAGGAAAATTGTAGCCTTGCATGTTAGCTTCAAAATTCCACTGGAATGGGCTTAATCAGATATCTGTGGACTGAGATATGGCCCAAATACTACACCTTGCTCAGAATCCGCGAATGCAGCGTTTTGACTTTTTCCAGGCCCAGTTTCAGCTTCTTATCATCAGAATTGGTTTCTGATCTCTCATAAGAATTGTGCGCCTTTCTCTAAGCTTTCCTAAAAATCAAGAATCACAATTAAAGGAGTTCTACAATTCAAGATATGGTCCAAAAACCAAAATAGTATCAGAATTTGCCAAATACTGAAAAAATTAAATAAAGCCTAAATAAAATCCAAACATCATAAAATGATCCAATTCAACCAATTAGGCACAAAAGAGGATTAATGAGCTAGGAATTAGAGGAAATAATGTTATAAAAATCTAATTGATCAAATTCCCCCACACTTAGCTCTTGCATGTCCTCATGTAAGACACAATCAAGCAAATAAAAACATGTAACCTAAAAAATCATAGAATAATCAAAACAAATAAACAAATTCTCCAATGAATTCTTAGAAGTGCTAAACTTAGGGACACAAGATCAAATAAAGCATCAAGAGTTCTACAACAATCAAACATTCAACTTCCAACCTCTTAAGAATGCAAGTCAAGCAATATCATTCAAAGTGTATAGATCAAGCATGAAAGATCTCACAAGATGGTGTATACAACTCAACTCTCAAGTGTATGGTTCAAAGTGTTTCACTCAAGTCACCTCAAAAGATAATGCATTACCATAAGCTTGTTAATCTTTTACTTCTCCACTACTTACATTCATATGCAAACACAAATCAAGAGGACTTTATTCAATGGTTGTAATGGGGCTAAGGTAAGGGTAGGGAAATATGAGGATATGACAAGATACAACCAAAGAGAATAGGAATAACATTGGTCCTTAGACAAATTAAGCCATAACATACATTATTCTCCTTGGACTTCCTTTTCCCTTCATCAAAATTTCCCATTTTCTGTGTAATAATTTTTTTTATTTATTATTTTTCTTCTTCTTTTTATTTCTTTTTCTTCATTTTTTTTTCTTCTTCTTGCATTCTTTCCGAACCCCCACACTTGAAATGCAATAATATTAATGAAACCAATTCCCTCCCTATTCGCTAAGGTTAGGTATAACATAGTTTTCCACTTAAAGCTTATAATGTGCTAGAAGCCAAAGAATGGTCCATAAGGCTCAAAGGGGCTAAACAAAGGGCAAAATGCAAGGTAAGATATATGGCCAAGTGGATAAAAAATTTGAAAGAAATGCCTCTATCATGTTCATAATTGCATATGAAAATTGTAGACTCAAAGAAGAATAAAAACAAGTTCTAGAATGATAAAATTTAAGAGGGAAAACACACAAGAAAGAAAAGAATGGCATGAATTTCAACCATCCAAAAAAATAAGGCTCAAAAGCTCATAAAGGTAAAGTCTAACATACTCAATCATACAAATCAAAATCAATCACCCAATTCACATATATCAAGAGGATGAAGTAAAGATGAAATCATATAGGAACTCTATCCTCCTTAATGACTAATGCCTTAACTCAACAACTTCCAATTCAACAAAGAAAAACAAAACAAAACAAAAACAATGCTAAATAATAAAAAATATTTATTTATTTATTTATTATCAATAACCTATCATTCTCCCTCCCAGACTTCAATTTTACATTGTCCTCAATGTAATGTATAATGAAAATGTAAGTAAAATATAGTAAGGAAAGGAAGAGGGGAACTCCCTAATCAAGCATAAATGGCCGCTAGTAAGCGGACCTCCTTAGTGGACTCCAAGGGTATGTCCTCATGAAATGGCTTTAAGCGGTGGCCATTCACTGTGAGTACTTTATCCATTCCAGGCTTGAAAATCTGCACAGCACCATAGGGAAAAATCTTAGTCACGATATAAGGACCAAGCCACCTAGAACGAA